CTAAATTTTATAATTTTAATGGATATTTTTATAATTTTTGTGGATTATTTTATAACAAAAAAAATTATAACTTTTGTGGATGATTTACGACTTTTATTTGTTTTTTACCACTTTTTTGGTTATTATTTTTTCATTTTTGTGGTAACTTCCAATTAATCCTAAAATAAAAACATTGTATATGACAATATGGTACGGAATTTTTTTTTTGGGTACTGTAGACTATTCTTTATATTAAATAATAGACTATTAAAGGTACAAAAAATAACCATCACTATGAATCAAAATTTTTAGAGTCATTTTTTTTTTGGTTCAATGATCAGAAGTGTCCGAACTAATTTACATGTATTTCGATTAATCTCTTCTCTCTTGTGATCAAAAATATGTCATCTACACTGAAACTAGGTTATTCTCGAGAAATAATTTCTAACCCAAAAAATTATTTGAAGAGTCATTTGCCATCATATTATCTGATCTGATTGTTGATTAATCCCATATGATTAGACCATATATTCTTCATAGTATTTTAAGGATCTATGAGATCAGTTGTTGGATCAATGATGATTAAGAAATTAAGGGTCAAGATCTATGTAATCCTCGCTATCATGCTTATGTGTCAAGTGTTTTTCCAAAGCACGACTCTTAAACAGCTAATGTCCAGTGTCGTTAACGTGTGCAGACAGTGCTTTGCACCATTCTTATAGTGTGCATGTTCATGCATATTATTTGATTAAACTAAATGTGACAGTTGAACGTTAATCATTCTTTACATTTTCTTCTCTTTTCCTATGACTTCATCATTTCCCATAAAAGAAAAATAACTAATATAAAAAATCTTATTATGTACATACTTAATATTGTCCAACCCGGTAAACGAACAAATAGGTAATCTTCGTTGGACGAGCACGGGCTTAATTAAGTAGAATTGGGTTGCGCTGCTTGATGGGCGGCGATGAATATAGTGATAGTGGCAATAGTAACGAGTGTTTGTGTGTTAGAATGAAGAGAGACGATATTGGTAGTAGAATGTGTGTTTAGTCTATGAATTCACTATAGAAAGTTCTCCATCCAAAAAAGACTTTTGGAACAAATTCAAGACCGAAGGCTCCAAATTTAGGAATTACGAATATTTTAACTGGCGTGATATTCGTATTCGATACATGATATTCATATTTGATATATATTGGATACATATATTTGTATATATAAATTGGATAATTTTTGCACGAATTAAATAATTAATAAAATATTTATCATTATTGAATCTTTGTCGGATACACGTATCTTCACGATTGATACATTCATCTTATATTTTAGTGAGATGAGTTATGTAGAAAGCATGAATCATACAAATAGTAATTTTTTATTTCAAGATGTGCATTTGGACGTGTATCACATATGTCGAAGGATTTATCAATTCTTTTCAAATTATTTTGCCTTGAATAATGAGTTTTTTTATAGTTTTATGTCAAAGTCAATGAAACTATTGCAATTAACTGATAATAAGAAATTGAGAAATCTCTTATGGGGACACATGTTTAACTTTGAAATTACATAGAATATTAGATTCAAAAACTATTAAGCAATTTCTATGTCAACAAAATAAATTGTTTTCGTTTAAGACGCAATTTATCTCTTAATCCCTCATATCCCCAGCATTGCAGTAACATCATAGTATGGGTGTATATATATATTGTATATATATTTATATTTATAACCTCATCTTACTCGTGGTTTAAAGAGGAATAACTCTGGTACGATAGAATAAAAAAATATGTATGGCCCATATATCTAGCATTTGATAAGTAAAATATGCTTTGAAAATTTTATTCGAATTTTATCCCAACCCGGTTTAAAAAGTTAATTTTAATCCATCTAAGCGAGGTATGAAATCCAATTGGGGGGGGTGAGATTTTTTTTTGCCAGACAAGATAACTAATGCAAATGATCGAAGTATTCTGTTTTCTTCTTTTTCTCTCTCTCTTTTGTTTGCCTCGTCTCATCCTTTTATTTTTTTACAAATCTAATTTTTTTTAACAAATTTATTTTGTCAAAGTAAGGTTCAGCCGACATACCTCAAGAAGATCAAGATGTCTTCTCCAACAAGACAATTAATTTAAATAATAAATTAACTCTAATCAAGCAATATTTTATTTGGACTAAGATTAATTAATAACTAATAATAATAATCTAATTAATGAGAGTTTAAGTTAATTCTCAATAGTTTTCGTAACATTTGAACACTTGTTTAAAAGATATGAAATTACAACATTTTTAAAAATTATATGTAAAAAAAATTTGTTTGGAATTGGTCAAATGTTAGTTTATAAACTAAACATGACCTTGGATTGGATAGGTTAGGGACAAATCAATTAATTGTACCACAGTTTATCACCCTTCTTCATGGGCCTCAGAGAAGTATTTATGTGTTATTCAAATATTAAAAATGATAAGATATAATCATTAAATACTAACCGGTCCAATTATAGATGGTTTTAGGTTGGATAAGATAGAATTTTTTTTAAATCTCCAATTCAGTACAACTTTGTCATGCAAAAACACCCTCGATGCCTAACAATGTGGAAAGCCTAATCAATTAACACATCACCATCGACAAATGTAACTTTTGAAATGAGCATATAACCTAGAAGAGCATCCAATGCTACACAAATCTAATGACGGAATTTCAATACAACCATTGAATTAGTCGTGAATTTCAATGTTAAATGGAGCCCACTATTAACCCAATGATTATATTGAATTAGTTTTTTAGATTAAATTCTTAAATTAAGTTCAAATAACATTTCTCATTTTCTTAACTCTGTACCCAAATATCACATGGGCAAATGTGACATATTTACACATTAAGTATGGTGTTGTATCATTTAGGATATAATTAATTACTAGAGATGCCTACCACCCCCATTATATTTTTCACCCAGCATCAGATCTCTATAAAGTTTAGTAGAATCCCAATAAATTGCCTTTTTCCCACATCCCATATTCTCCACCAACTCAAAAAATCAAACTTTTTTGGATTTGGAATTGGAATCCACCACATCACAGCTTCCAATTCCTTCTTAATAATCCACTTTATCTTCTTGGAATATAGAACACCTGGAAAGTTGAACCTACAAAAGACAGTTATAGGAGATATATATATATATATATATATATATATATATATATATATATAATTTACAGTGCTTTTTTTTTTTTTTTTTTGTTTTTTGGTATTGAGATATCATCGATTACTTGTTTGTATGGTAAAGTTATAATTTTGAAAGGAGAAGTTACAATTGTTCGAGGAAAGTTATGATCAATCATAGACACCAATGATCGATCATGAAAAATGCGATATTAATATTAATATTTTATGATCGATCATGTTTTTTAAAATTGTAATTTACACCTTAAAAAAATTATAACTTAATCTTGAAAAATTATATAATTTTCGGTATTGATGGGTACCGTAGAAGTTCCCATCAATAAAAGCAAAGAAAGAAAAAAAGAAAATTCTCTACACGAATAACAGAGCAATTTTAGTTTGATGTTACATCAATGACTAAAGTCTTTTCATCTTTTCCCCTCCACTTTCACTTATTCATTTCAAATTAGATCAGACTTAAAAAAATCTTGTTTTTTTTTTCGTTGAATGATTAAAATTACGAAAGATTGTCAATTAATTTTAAATTAAATAATTTATTATAGTATCAAAGCAATGCCTTGAGTGATCAGTGGACTAACTCTATTATCCACTTGTATTTTTCGTAATTTATGTTTGTTTGTTTATTTTTTAACCTCACGTCAAACCCAAGTCTTACCGCGAATAAATGTAAAAAGAGTTTGTATTCCATATCAAATGATTGTGACCACTCGAAACTAATTTATATATTTGACAGAATATTTCACTCATTGTTAATTGACTTTGAGTTAAATATTTTCACATAGCATCAAAGTTGAACCTTGAGTGATCAGTGAGTTTAATCTCTTACCCATTTACATTTTTCGGTATACATATTTATTTATTTGTATACATATTTATTTATTTGTTTTTTAATGTACGACTCCAATTTCACGGAAGAAAAGGTGTAAAAAGAATCAAATGATTTAAACTGCCCAAAATTGATTTATATATCAAATAACCTCTTCACTCATTGTCAATTAATTTTGAGTTGAATGCTTTACCGATCGTGATATAGACGGTGACCTACCACATAAGCATCCTCTTTTTTAGAGCAACTTCAACCCAGTTCTCTAAAATGGATATCTAAAATATATTTAAATATTATATTATCTACTTTAACTAGTCATTTTTATAAGTTCACTCTAAACATGTTCTTTATTTTAACCAACTATTTTAACTAACTTTCAATAATACGTGCCACCCTAGTGTTTGATAAAATGCCAAAGCATAGATACAAAATGAATTCTTAGCTAAAACATAAAAATTTTAGGATCAATGCAAATTAGATCGTGTTTTTAGTCAAACCATTTCCTTAGATTTTTTCATTTCATTGCTAAACCAGAAAACCAGAAAATTTTCAGAAAAAATTCGGGAAAAACTAAAAACTGAACACATTTCCTTCTCTCCCTATCTGGAATATCATAGAAACCTTACTAGTAAAACTCTTCACCTCTCTACAGTGGTCTTCTACCTTGCAGAAAAAGCCACAGTGGTCTTATGAGTTCTTGATTTCATCATTTGGAATATCAAAATCATCTCAGGTTTTTATTTGGGCACTAGGGTTTCTGTCGATTCAAGCACAAAGCGAGCCAGAAAGAGAGAAAGATTCACACCTGGGTGAAGACGAGCTCTTATGAATACAATTAAGCCACAACACAAGAAGACCAACCACAAAATTTGGCGCAAAGAGCAAATAGCAAGTGAAAATGGTTAATGGGATTGAGAGCTAGTTGGAGAAATTTTTTGGAATTGGCTCTTCAAAATAGCTAAAAAATGACTTTTACTGAACGGGTTGGAGTTGCTCTTATCCACCAAAAATATACATGTACCAAAGTAAACTGTTCAATGTAAAAACTTCATTAACATTCTCATTTTCTTCAGGATTACAAGTACTTCCATTTCAAGGATACATTAGGATCATTTGTTGAAGGAAAAAAATGACAACTAAAGAGACCAAAAATCTAAAAATATTGGTAATTGGAGAAGAATTACCTAATCTGGACTTTGTTCTTCAGTATACCAAGAGATTTTCTCACCCTTTCTAGCTTTTACTATGAATTTTGAATGCCAGAAAATGGTTTCCCTTCCAAATATTTCATCTTCTCCCATCCTAACCCACCACCAACAATATCCAAAATGAAGAGAAATATTTACTCTTAACAAAACCAAATGATTTTTTTGCAACCTAAAGGTTCATTGAGAACCATTTTCAGTTCAACAGAGATCAAGCTGCATTTGCTCAAGCAATGTGCCCAGAGCTGATTGATCATTTGAATCAATCCGGGAGTTCAAGTTTGATCCCAAGCCCGAAGATGCAGCAGCCGAACCACTAGCAACACCGGAAACATGCACTGCATACTTTTCCTTCATGTCTTGTGGAGATTCCTTGACAAGAGATTGAACCCATGATAGATCAGGCTCCTCACCATTGTTCCCAAGCTCAAATGACGATGATCTCTTAAGCCTACCAAATTCATTAGCATTAACAGCCCAGTCCGGCTTCCCATTGGATGATCCCCATTTTGACCAAGAATCACTAGGAGAGCCAACAATGACATCAGAATTAGAGCCAAGATCTCGTGAGCTCATACTTCGAAACTGTTGTAGCTGCTTCTCGCGCTGAGCAAGCAGAGAAACGCGAGAGCTTAGTGGTGAGATAGGATCTAGCTCTGCACTTCTGGGAGACATCCTCCCTGAAGATGGAACCCCATAGGATGCTTGCAATAAAGGGTGATCAATATTCTTTGGTGAGAAATTTGTGTTGATTGGAGATAACATGCTTTGCTGCTGCTGCTGGAATTGATTGAGAATCGCTGATTTGTGTGTGGGGGAGAAAACAGCTGAAGCCAGTGCTTGATCAGAATAACGAGGAGATGAGCTCTCTGCAGAAAAAAGATCCTCAAGATTTGAAGGAGTTAAGGGTTTTGAACGACCAGAACGATTCAAAGAATTGTTATTAATACTCTGTTGACAAATCCATGATAATTCATTTAGGAGTTGCTGTTGTTGCACATCAAAATCTGGCAACATATTCAAGTCTCCTGCATTGATATCTCTTGCATTAAGAGATGAACGCAAGCGACTAGACTGGAGATTACTTCCAGGGAGATGCAATGTTGGGACATTTGATTGGGGCCAACCCATGTTTGAAACGCCATTGGCAGATGGAGATATAGGTGGAGTGAAAGGTGAAGGGGACATGAGAGGGACTGATGAAGGAGAGCAAGGTAACATGTTCATGGCAGTGGCAAAATCCATGGCATTAGCTGCAGACGAACTTGAGCGAGGGGAGGGAACTGCAGAACCAGTAGAGACGTATAGGGGTCGGAGTTCCTCTTGTGTGTGGGCAAAGAAACACACTCTTCTGTTGCAATTTGTACCATCCTTGCAAAGCCGGGTCCTATATTGAGCTGGGTGGAGCCAGCACTCAAATACCCCATGTGCATATTCGCACATATCCCCTCTTCGACAAGCCCCTTTGCGAAACTCAGGACAAGGAACACAACTGTAATGGTACTTCCTTGGATCTCTTCTTCGAGCATTTTCCCCAGGATGGACAAAAGGGCACTCTGTCCAGTCATGTGAGTAGGCACGAGAACAAGGTCGGACCTTAAAAGAAAACATTCTAAACTCATCAGTTGAATAAATGCTATTCTTGATGTCGGGCAAGGATGGATCAATGGGGTATTCTTTCTTCTCTGATGCACAAGACACTGGGACATCATTGAACTTCAAACACTTGGGAGAAGATGCTGAATCAGAATCAGATGACGGGGATCTGTTTTCCGGGGATGGAGAAAGCGGTGGAGAATTTGAATTTGAAGTTGCTGTTGACACCCGGAGATTGCCCTCACCAACTGAACCATTGGTTGCAAGAAGTTCTTCAAGGGTGTATTTCATCTCTTGGAGCTTAGGAGAGACAAAAATAACGTCAACAGGACGATGGCCATTAGCATCGATCAAATTAGGATCAGCACCTGCCATTAATAGTAATTTCACAACTTCAACAGAATTTGTTGATCCACCCGATGCAGCACAGTGAAGAGCAGTGCTCTTATCAAGGCCAGATGATCGATTCACATCAGCTTCAGACAGAGAAAGAATCAGTTTCAGAATATCCATACTACCATATGTAGCAGCAACCATTAAAGGGGTTCTATGCTCAAGAACCATTTGCTTTGAGCCCTTTTGGCGTCCATACCACAGTCCAACCTCATCAATATCAGATGGATCACGCTCAATCGATCTCTTGAATCCATCAATGTCATTACTAGCAGCAAGTTCAAGCAAACTGCCAAAAGCATCTTCAGTTTCAACAGTTAAGTGATTCATGTTCATCTTAGTAGGTCTAGTCCTGTTAATCGAAAAAGGGGATGATGGAGGGAAGACAATCTCAGTTTCAATCGTTCTGAGCCACAGCACATGCTTTCACTTGCCACAAAACCAACTGAAAACAAAACCCCCAAAATTTACAATCAACTTGAAAGAAACATTAATCTCATACTAAAAGATCAATACATATCAGCCTACATACTGATTACTGACCAAAAGATAAAAATCAATCTCCAATCATGAATGATCCAAATACAAAGAAACCCAGAAATGCATATATCAAATATTGGAATATTTCAAAAATAAAGGTAGGTTGTAATTTTGTAGTAAATAGAAATTTTTCTGGTATTAGTGGAGAATATAAGAGGAAAGACATTAAATTGTTAGTCACCCAAAACTGGAACAAGGATAAATTGTTGAACAGATTTGGAGAGAGAAGCTGTTCTAGAGTCGGACTAAATTTGGACAACAAAACAACAATGTTTTAAACAAATCATTCATAAAATCGGAGGTAATAAAGACATAAGTCAACAATAAAAGAATCAACATAGAAATGGGATAAGGTCAATAATATCAAAGCTAACTCTCAACAAATATTACAAAATACACAGACTTGAAGACCAGATTTTTAGGCAACAGAGGAATTAATGTCCTTAATATAATAAACAAAGCAGTGTTATCAACACAACATATACAGAAAAAAAAAAAAAAAACCTAGAAAAAAGTTCTTCATCCATACCCCAAAGAATCTATAGTCAAAAGCCTCAGCTTTTTAAAGCATTCAATAAATTTCAAAAGAATAAATGAATAGAAGAAAGTAGCCATGCATAAGTCTGTAAAGAACTGAAGAGAAAAATCAAATCAACTAAACAGAATCAATGATCAAGCTTGATGTGCAGATGGGTCTATACAAGTATGCACTTGACTATAGATATGGATGACTATATATGTCTGATATATACGTTTATACCCAAAACCCATGTTCATGCCAGAAGGGTTTTGGTCTACCCATATTGTTGTAAATGATTTGAGGTAAGCTAATATCTTACCGGAGTTTCATGTGTTGTCATAGAAAGACCAAAGCAAGACACGCATCTCCATTCTACAGAGAGAGATATGGGAGTGTGTCTAGAGATCTAGAAAGAGAAAGTAGAGAGAGAAAGAGAGAAGAATGAGGAAAGAATACAGCAAGGGCGCTGTGAAGAGGTGACTAGAAGGAAGACAAGAAGAACTGCTTCTTTTTCTTCTTGCTTTTTCTCCATTTCCTATGCTCTCTCTCTCTCTCCCTCGCGACTGATCAGTATATAATTATTTCTCTTTTCTCTGCTTTTATTTTGTTGAAGAAAACGCCCATCCAATAGAAATCGCGATGCATATTATAACTTAGAAAAGTTAGTGGACTAAGTTGCAATTAAAGCAAATAAAAAAAATTAATTTAATATTGAGTTTTGATCGTGTGTGTCCACTTAAGCTTAGCTCTTTTCTACATTTGTTAGGAGTGCAATGCCACGTAGTCAAATTAAAAAAAAAGTTTTTTTTTGGTAAGTTAATAGGGGAAAAAAAGGTATAATTTTTTTTTAATTCGGGTGATTTAAGATAGATTAACGTTTGTTTATTTGTAGAATGAATCCAATTCGAATATAATTTTATAAGCCGTTTAATAAATGAGTAAAATCCGAACAATGATGTATTTTACTCGTTTAGGTTTGCGAACAAATGAATACAACATGTAATATTCTGTTTATATTATAATGGGTATGTATGTAATCCAAAATAAGGCATAATCTTGAATTCGACAATGAATTTAATGTTTAAAGCTCAATTTATTTAATAAATCGTGCAAAGTTTGGGTTTAGGATAGAAAAAAAAACACAAGTGCAACTTAAATATTATTAAAACTCGTCATAATTCTCGTTAGGACGTAAACAAATAACTTAAAACTCAGTTCAATTCCATCTCCAAAAAATTAAATTTTTTTTCATTAAATAATTAGAAATGTCGAGATTAGTTTACATATATTTCAACTAAATTTTTCTTTGGTCCAATCAATGGCAGCAAACTAACGAGTTTTGCAACACATTTAAGATGTCATTGTCTAGTAGTAAAAACAAATTGAATGCCAAAAGGTATCTTTGAAATCTTTGGAATTAGCTTCTTTTTAATTTTTTGATATTAAAAATTAATTTATTTTTAGTAAATGTAGTTTTCATGACATGGCAGGGGTGTACACAAAGGGAAATAGTAGAGTGATGGCTAGTTTCGGTAAGCAGAGGATAAAAACCATCGAACACTTCGGTTGAAATTTGAACAGTCCGTTCTACGTCAAATTCCATAGAAATTCACCCAAATTCACTCCACATGAAAGTTAAATTGCGGAAGACAGGAGTCTAATACATCCAAGTATCACAACCTACCTACAACTTGATTACGTGTCAAAATATTATTGGATGATATTCCGTTTGTATTGAATGAATTTACCGTAAAGCCATGTGAAAGCCCTCTAAAGACACTTTTACCCTACAAGTGTCCAATAAAAGCCTGACACGTTAGTTGGTGGTGGTCCTAAGATTACTGAGATCAAAATCCGATTAGATGAAGTGGTGCTTTTAATAATCATACTTTTGATCCCAATTTTAATCATTTAATACTCAACATTTATTTATCATATCAATTGTCACGTTATTTGGCTATATTTTTTAGTCTGAGTGGTGCTAGACAAATTAAAAAATAAGATAAAAATTAGACAAAAATGATATGATAATAAAAAATCTAAATTTCAAATGTGCAAAATTGGGACCAACAACACAATTATAATAATAATTGACCTGTTTTGAATTGACTGAAAATTTCAGTTTTTGGAGCATTAAGAGGAAAAGAAGTCTAATCTATCTGGACCCGGGTTTATTGGGGCGGCTTTTTTTATTAATTTTTGGGTAAAAATAACTTTTATCAGTATTAAAAAAAAACTAAAAAAGGGACTTATCTAAGAAAAAAATTTACTTTTTCTTTTTTGTGTAAGTAAAAAAAAATGACTTTTTTAAGAACTCTCTAAATAGTTGAAGAATTTTTTTTTAATTTTAGCTTTTTGAATTAATGGGTGATAAGAAGGTCCATGGCCTAGGTTGTAGTGTAACATTACTCGAGATTAATTATATATTAGGAATTTGGTAACCGGTTGGGGGAGATAAAGAGGACAGATTATTACCGGTTACGTAATAAACAGGTTTAAGGTAAACCGGTAAAAGCGGTGGCGACGCGTGAGCGCGGGTGGACGTGAATGTTGATTAAGGTGGAATAGAATAAGGGGTTGGCGTCCGCGAATGAGGTTTTCGGACTTGGGGCACAAGTCAATTGTCGTTTAATGTGGGTCAAAATCATAAAGGGGAAAAAGCGTGACCACACCAAACCGATTTAATAAAAATAATTACAAATATAGTCCTTGTAGTTTCTAATATTTAAGGAGCGCCCCATCATAGTTTCTAAAACTATACTCTACTCCTTTCTAGTTTGTGTGTTGACTGTTGAGTCAATTAACAGTATCGTTGAAGTCATCATAATTTTTTCTTGAAAATACCCATTTTGCTCTTCTAAAACATGAAATAAATATTAATTAGATATTTTCATAATCACATAAAAAAGAAAATAACATTAAAATTTTGAAGAATAAAAAAAAATAGAAAACTCGAATGGTTAGCCCCATCAACACCCTATCCCGACTCCCAACAATCCCCCACCCGAAAAGCCTCCCACCCTTGATGGCTGACTCCTCTCCCAAACTCAAATGAATTGCTATCCCATAAATCTGAGAGCCAAATCTTATCCTCATCATATGCAAAAAATTGTCTCCGACACAACATTTTAGGTGTGCTTGACAATTTTAGAAAGGAGTCATAAAATTGATAAGAATTTGACACGGATTTAGCGGATTTGAGTGTAATCTTAACGGGTTCGAGTGGTTAACGGGTTCACTCGGTAGACCTGTGAAATAAATGAATCGATTTTGCGTTTAACCCATAAATTCGTTTCAACCCGTTAACAGTGATACTATAAATTTTTTTAAAAAACATTAAGTCCCTCAACCTCTACCTCATCTCACATCTCACATCTCTTATCTCTTATACTAATTCAAATTTAGTTATCATTTAATGTTTATTTTTTGTCTTTATTTTTTTCCTCACCCATAATTTATTGTTACAGTAAGTAGGTTAAACATGTGTAATGTGTAACAAGTTGATGATTTTTCGTGTGAACTTGAAATACTTTAACCTATTCTGTGGGTGACACACGTGTTGTATCGTGTAATCTGTCTAATAAACGATTCATGTATGAGTATAATAGTTAGACTCATTTATATAAAAAAATGAGGTATGAATGAAAGATTTTTTGACACAAACTCGTTCTACCTGATACGAAACCGTTCTATTCGACACCATTGTCGGGCCTAATTTTTCAATCAACATTTTCTCATAGGATTATAGTACAATATTAAAATTTAGGATGGGTAGTCTCTATAAAGATCAAATATTATGCGAGGTTTCAAAGTAATTTAACATATATAGAGTTGGTTAAAATAAATTTATTATAAATCTATGTAGGCAGATTTTTACTATGAACTTTTTAATTTAAATGTTGAAAGGAAAACTCTCGCAGCCGCCCCAGTTGACTAACTTTTAAAGGAGCAAACATAAATAACTTTTGAGAAAAGATTGTATTTACTTACTCATAAAATCTCATAGGGATGAGTGATGATGACAATGGACATCATAGGACAGGCTTGTACTTATCTTCTCCTTCTTTTCCTTTTTTTGTAAATTTCATTTTGATATTGGGGAATTGTTTTACTCAATCAAAATTCATTTTAAGTGAGATGGTGCAAAAATATTATAATTTATAATTTAACAGAAAATATGATGTTCAATAGAATAAAATCAAAAAATAAAATTATTCATAGCTTGATCGGTTGTTCGTAGGGACGAAAAAAAAAATTTAATAAATAATAGCTTGCATTCTCTGTGAAGATAACCCACTTCTCAAAAGGAGGGAAAGGTCGTTTCCAAAGTAAGGAGAAGAGGGGCATTCGAAGTAGTTGAATCGGGGCTTGAGTCATTTGAATATGTTTTAATAGTGATTACTTAGTTTTAAGGGATTAAAAAAAGAAAGAAAAAATGGAAAGAGGGTTATCCTTTATTGTATTGTTCACTATTTCTATTAAACAAATAAGAAGATGTCAAATGATCTTTCATTTTTCTTGGTCCAATTGTCCAATCTAAGTTAGTGATTACTTAGTTTTAAGGGGTTAAAATGGGCAATCTATCACTTCCTATATGGCCAATTATATAAATATTCCAAACTTATGATCCCATTTTATTTCATTCAATGCTGGAGTAAGTAAATTGCCATTACACTGAGGCAAATACTATCGATTATTACATTGGGGGAATTATACTTTGCACTCAAAAAGATTTAAAAATTTTATTTTGTACTTTGAATAATCAAAATTTTCATATTAAACCTCCAATGTATTAAAAATGCTATAATGTAACTATTATGTTAGCTTTCATTGCTTATTCCTTAAAAAAATTGTCCTATTAATATTGAAAAAATGAGCAACAGATAGGATTGATAATTTTTTAGACTCATTTTTTGGTTTTGTTTGTTTTCTAAACAAGTTGATCTTGGACAATTTTTTAGATTCATTTTTTTAAACGAGCTTAAAAGTTCGGCTCGAGATCGCAACGCTCTATTCGTTTATATATAAAATAATCGAGTTACTCGGACTTAATATGGTTCGAACTCGGCTCAAGCTTGCAAATATTGACTCGATTATCAGCCATAGCAATAAAAGCTAAAAGAAGAGCCATATTCTAACGCTTTTTAATATATTAAAGATGTAATATAAGAAATTTAATTTTTGAGAGTTCAAAATATAATTCACCTTATTATATTTGATATAAAGAACACTGAAAATGCATGTTATATCATCCATCTCGAACATTGCTAATTGATTTTACATCCCATAGCATATGAATATTTTTCATTCAATTTCTAATGGACATTTAGAATTGAGGCAATGTGATACACATAATTGTTGTTGAAAATATAGTATTAAAATTAAGATTGAGAGAATAATGTGATGCTGGAAAAAAATTAGAGAGTCAAAATGTCATTTTCCAATCTCAATACGTTGCTCTTTTAATTTTTCCTCTTGTTTTAGGATTTCCATACATGGGATGGAAGATTCCACACGCAACATGTCGCGCTTGAGAAACAGGAACGACTCGATGCAAGCCCATAAAACAA